CAACCTTTGCTCTACAGATCTGATGGAATAATCAGGAATAACACGCTCACAAGTTTAAGGGTGGTATCACTGATATTGAGGTGGTAGCTGTGATTGTCAGGGCTAAATAATTGTAACCGTATTGGAAACAGTACTGTTACCAGGTATTATAGAATATGCTCATATTCTTTACATAACATTTAATCTACACACAAATTTTGTCAGTGAACTAAACTCTTCATCAAAGAACTAAGTTATTTTAAAAAGTTGTAGCAATGTTTCTTATTTTTTCTTGCTTCATGTTGATTAAGTGGCAGCACCTCAAAGTAAGGAAATTTTTTAACTGGAAAACACAGTCTCAAATTATAACTGTCCAGTTTAATCTGTCTCCTTGGTAAAGAAATAGAAATAATGTTCCCATTTCAGTAAGCCTTCATAGAATTATGAACATGAAAATATCACCTTGTTTTCCAGTTACAGAAGTCCAAAAGTCTATAGTTCTATATTTATTGCTATAGTTTTTATATTTATTTATGCTTGTTACAACACTGAGCATTTTCCATGTGATTAAGACTTGGAATTTTTATTTTCTAGCATTTTTATTAAATATTTAATAAAGCTTTTGGAATATTTCAGAAGTAATCTGTGGGATCATTAAATGCCTCGTGGTAAATGCTTAGTAATAAATACAACTTTTTTTTTTTTTCCCTAACCTACATTTTAACCAGAAGGAGGATCGCTTTTCATGCAAAAGGCTTTTGAAGTTCTAGATAGTTAATATGTACAAATTGTACCAGGGTTAAAGTAATTCAAAGGTAACGTCTGATCAAATTTCATCAGTCAATAATAAAATAGGCAGCAGGTAAAAAAAAAAAAAAACCAAAACAGCAACCCCAAAACAATGACAAAAACCAACCAATCTCCCCAAATACCTCAACCCAAACCAACAATAAAAACCTACAGCCACATCTTGGGGGGTGCCAGGCATAGCGGTTTCCTTCCTATTTAATTGCAGTCGGTGTGTGAGGTTCAGTGAAGTGCTTTGTGTGGATGGGATTTGGGAGTAAAGATTGGGATACAGGAACCGTATATAAGGTGAATCTGATGTTATCACAGTGAAATAGAAGGGTACGTGTGGTCAGATGGACCAGATATAATTTAGCTCAGAGACAGGTAATTTATTATACAATAGATTTGACTAAATGATCGGATGCTATTCTTAAAGGGCAGAACTGCCAGGTGAGCCTGTGCTGTTGAGGTTGTGCACTGACTCCATCGTTACTGTTGTACATCCCTGTATTTCTACAGTTGTGTAAGGGCTCAAGTTCTGTGGAAATATCAAAGTTGTTATGCTATAAAATAACATAAATATTGCATATATATTGGAATTAAGTACTGAAGTGCAGAGTTTGTACAATGAGATAAAGATAGCCAGAATACACTTACTTTATTTTGTAGCTTTGTTAAGCAATCAGTTCTGCTTCTGTTGAAAACTGGAGAGCAACAACTGAGTAATGCCTTAGTTGTGGAAGCTGTTGGAGTTGCTTTTAATGGGAATACACTTTATAATTTTAAGTGCATTGTTGAATAATTACAACTTTGAATACATCTGCCTAATCCATACTTATGTATGATTTGTTAGAATATCTTACTTTGAAGTTCTATTAGGTTACTGCAAAGGGAGGAAAAAAATCTTGTGTGCTAACATGCCCCATGTACTCCCCGGTAGTTAGGAAGTAGCTTAAACCTTCATTGAGGGACAAGCTGCTTCAATGTTACTGTGCAATAATGGAGTAACTCGGTTACTGCAGAGAACCTGAAGTGCTGCATGTTCATACCTCACTCTGATATAGTTCCTTAAAAATATCCTGAGGCTGTTCTGGGTATTGTGTCTTATGTCAGTTCAACAATATTTCAAAGCATCTTGTATCTTTCTACAATTAAAGCATTTCATCAAGGGAATCCACACTTCTCTTCTTTGATTCTGCCACGAGTTATTTTCAAGACTATTTGCAGGTTAATTAACTTCTTTGCGTATTGGTTACTTAATCTGTCAAATGCAATATTAGTTAGTTAACACTGTGGAGGTGGTCAGATAGTATCATAGTGTCATTACCACTGTCATTTACTTGAGGTTTAGTTTTATTCTGCCTCTGCCTGCTCTGTCTTTGTAAATGCTGCAGGTGGAGCTTCAGGGAGTAGGTGGGAGTCTGTGCAATTTCTGTATTGCAGAGTGTCATTAATTATTCTAATAAAGCAGGAGCCAAACCCTTAATGTTTAGAGATTTTTTTGTAAGATTGTAAAATAACAATAGAGGCAACTTCAGCCTGTCTGGCATAGCCTTTTCTGTTACTTTAAGTGACCCTCTCGAGTAATACAGGATTGAATGTTTAGGTAGGTTTCATTGCAAAATGAGATGAATTTGTGTGTGAAGTAGTTTAACATTTTTTATCTATTTACATCTTTGGATAGATCTGAAAAAATCTCAGTGCAGGTTTATAGACAAAGAGAGGAGTCTTCTTCATTCTTACTGAAATAATTCTGAAAATACATATCCTACAGCAGTGCTATTCATTCTTCAGGTAATGATATCTAGCTTATGGAACAGATGTAGGCTGGGTTAGTGTATATTGTATGGTTAATGAATAGTATATTCTTTTAGTTTATTGAGAAACAGGAAATATATGCTGTTAGTTATATTGTTGTTGAATATAATACAGTTATGCTTGTGTTTACTGACGGTAAATCAGGAGCGAGCAGTTTAAATTTGCATTGTAGCATGTGGTGTAAGCAATTGCAGAATCAAAGATACTAATTTCTGAAGCTGCAGTAAAGTGATGAAGATATTTCTGTAGGCTTGACCACCAGGTGAATTCTTCCACTGATGTTATTAATGAAATCCCTTTCTAATGCCAGGTGATGTAGTCGGTAATCTAGAACAGAAGCAAGTGCCTGCTCATTTTACTTGCATTATATTGCAAATACATCTGTTCATGTTATCTCAAAGGATCACAACTGAAATGAACTTCATGGGTGAATATTATCTTAAAGTGACAAATAATATTGCATGTTTATAGTGGTGAACTATACTCAAGATGTGGACTGTCCTCTTAAACTATTGCTTGTATAAACAATTGTGTTGGTCAGCACCTTGAACATGTTAAGGGGCCACTTGTGGGAGTGCTGTTGGGGTTTCCTTAGCTGGAAGGAAAGGAGAAAGGGTGAGCATCTTGCACCCGTAGCATGTCTTCAGTGCGACAGGCTGAGAGGAATGAGGTAGGCCACCAGTCTGGCATGCTCATCACCTCTTGTCTTTGATCCATATATACAAGAAAATATTTTTTTTTGTCTTTTGTGATCTACTTTTTCTATGTTGTTTAAAAAGAAACCCCACAATTGAAAGATGACAGTACATATGACTGTGTGCTCAGGGTATAGGCACTGTATTTCACATTTCATCCATAGGTAAAGTAAGTGTGACCTGCAATTTTCCATTTACTCTGAGATATCCAAGTAGTCAGATGCCTTCTAGTTATGTAGTTGTGGGCAGTTTCTGTTAAGGCTTGGGTTTGTCCCCAAAGCAGTGCTGAATAGCTTCTCTCTCTTCCACAGTATGCCCTGTACATAAACAATTATATAAGTAGCTTCTAAAATATTTTTAAATTACTTTTGCTAGTTATAACTTGGATACTACTGGAGAGCACAGTTTTCAGTGTACCAGGAATAAAATCAAGGACCTCTGTTAATTGAATTACTACTTAACATCTAATAAAATGTTCACATGGATTTTAACGCTGGGCTTTGTGGTCTTTAACTCAATATTAATTTTTAGGCTTATTCTGTTTTAAATAATTTGTTATACATAGCTTTGGAACATAATTTGGTGTCTGTATATGAAGAACAAATATAGAATTCTCTGGACACTTTACAAATGTATTAGTGCAGCTTATGCTGAAGTATCTAGAGTCTAAATAAATATATATATATGTATATACACACTATAGATTGTGCATTACTGTCTGCATGTCTTTCTTATAAAGTATATCCCCTTTTTAATTTTATGATTTGCAACTTTCCAGTCTGCCAAGAGGCTGTTTGAAAAATCTTCAGGAAAGAGGCTGTAAATATGTCATTACAAAACAAATCACAGGCTCTCACCCCCTCAGGGCTTCAGCTGAAAGGAGCATGCACTTTTAAGATGGTTCTTTGTAAAATAAATTCATCTATAACAGTTAAATATAGCCACTTTGATTACCTGCAGGTTAGAAAAAATACTTTATTTTTTAATCTCCTTATTACATGAGCCCCTTAAATAAAAGAAAAGAACATGCTTCCGAAAATTTTTCTTTTTTTTTTTTTTTTTTCCTCTATAATTCAGATGGATGTACAAACCTCAAATAAATACAGGGCAGGCTAAAGGCAGTAAATCTGCTATTGCCAGGTTTTTCCATGAAAGGAAGATGCAATTATTGCAATGTTTACTACAGGAGAGACAAAAAAATAAATAGAAATGTTCACTTGTGTTTAAGAGCACAAACAACTTTTCTTACTTAATATTTACTTCATTTTACACTACTTGTATTTCATTCATAGACTTTCAATCCAGCCTTAGTTTTATGAACAAGATGCTAAACACTATAAAGCAAAGATTTGTGTATCTCCAGGTGTTTAGCACACTCAATGAGAGTGCTTCTAAAAATAAATTGTTTACTTCAGTTCTGCATCTGAATACTTAGAGCCATTGCTTGCTTGATTTTTCATCAGAACTCCTGCTGCCTGTCTGAAAATGGATGAAAAATAATTTATTTCACATTTCCATCATACATAATTCTATTTAAAGGTGATGTTTTATTACTCTTGAGAATTAAGCTGTCAATCAGATACCTGGCTGTTTCCATTGTGAGGACATCAGATAACAAAAAAAAGCACAACTACTGTATTTCTTTGATACAAAAATGTATGTGTAAGAGCCTATATTTCTTGATTAGAAAAATGGCTAATTCTCATAATTTTGTTTCAGCTTTACTTTTGGAAGCTCAGTCAACACCCTTTCAAATAACTCCTTCAACCATGGCAAATATTGTGAAAGGCCTGTATACACTACGACCAGGTAAAAAAGAAAAATGTTTCTAGGAATCTCTTGTGTGGTGGTTGTGATATGTTTTCTTAAATATGTGTGCGGTGGCTGTCGGTCTAATGCACATTTAGCAAACAAATTTGTTTTGTGTTCTGACCATGATAACGCTTAGTTCTGCTGTGCAAAGGCCCTGGTTCTTCTTGTTGCCCATTTTTGTGACCTGTACAAGGTACCATGTGAATACCAGAATCACTGTAAAAAAAACAACCTAACTTTTGCTCTGTAGAAATAAAGAAAGAAGGCTGTTTAATGAGTTAGTCATGGCAGAAGTTCAGACGTATAGAGTTGGTGAAAGTTACATTGTGAGTTGCACTTCAAAAGGCCAGATCTTTGACGAGATGAATGACTGTTTCTTACATAAAGCTGTTACCTGGTTGGTATTATTTCATGAAAGAGCTTAATTTAACTCATGAGTACATTGTGACATCCCGTGCAACAATTATATGGAGAAGAAAATCGTGTTGCAAATTTTAATCAATTTTGTACCAAAACATTTGGTTCTGTAAATTTTGGAGAACTGAGTAGAGCTCTAGACGTGTTTGAAAAGACTTTAGAAACAAGAAGTATTAAAAATATCCACATATAAATGCTAGCTGCTTCCCTTCCTTTTGCTATACTGATACTTTCTTCTTACCTTGGTGTGACCAAGCGAAGGATTGTATCTGAGCTTCAGTCGATTTTTACTTTGCAGTCCCTATTTATAGAAACAGAAATGAGGATGGCTAAGCTTTACAAAAAAAAGCCCATTTTTCTAGTGCAATGTTTAGTATGTATACAAACCAGGAATGTGGTGGACACTCCATTTACAAAATGCATGGATAAAGCACTTTGAGTAAGCAAGGATTATTTTTACAACAATAACCTACCATCATTTTTAAGCAGCTCAGTATGGTTTTGTTGTACGGCACTTAATATTGTAAATGATGGACTTGTGATTTTCCAGTTGTCCATTTCAGATGATTCCTGTCTTGCTGTCTCCTTCATAACACAACAGATACTGGTTTGGGTTGCTATCATGAGCCTAGTCAGATTTTGAATAGTTGTCTTATATCTGTAAGATCTTTAAGTATAAAAAAATGTTCTTACAATTTGTGATATCTGCTTTCCACAGCTGGGTACGAAGACCCAGGTGATTGACTTTAAGCTATTGCTTAAACAGATACACATTTGCTCTAATTACCTGTTCCTCAAACTTCCCAGCCTCTGAGAAAATGAGAGATTTTAATGTCATTCCAACCAGAAGATCACAGTGTAGACTTCCTGATGTAAAAGGCTGTTCTTTGGTGGTGCTGGTTCTTAAGGATGAACTCTGAAACAATCAGGGCAAGAGTTCCTCTGAGGTAGTGCTTCTCCCTTATTCTGTGGGACGTGTTCCATTGGATGTATCATGGGGACCGGGGAGCAGATAACTGGGGAAGTAAAGCCATAAATGTGGCCAGTGGGAAGTGCTAGGTGATTAGAGCAGCACTGGGAACCGTCTGTTTAGGCAATATAGAGAGCAAAAGAAGAAGCAACGCTGATGTGGCTGGTGGCCATGGGCTTTCTCTTATTTTTTCTTTCTCTTCTTTTACTTTCTCTTCAATCTGAAAATACTTGACAGCTGTTAGACTTCAAATGTTGCCAGAAAAGACTGTCTTCTGATTCTAGCTCCAGCACACGGTGGCTGCAATAGGAAAGGCTGAAGCCTGGGCAGATGCCCAGGTTGCTAGTTGGTCTACTTGGATTTAATCTGAAATACTCTTCACCTCATCTATAATGGTCTGGCAGTGGCATGAAATAGCTTACCACAGTATTTCATGTTGTGAATTCCAAGTCAGTTTATTGGCTTGGCTAAATTATTCAGTAGCAGTAGGTTTTTAGTACGTAACACATTCTATGTGGTACCCCGTTACTGTATTTCAGAAGATGAAAAGTGCTGTTTCATTTCTGTAATGTGGTGGGGTGGTTTTGTTTTTTTGTTGTTTTGGTGGGGTTTTTATTTGTTTGGGTGGTTTTAATTGAGTGCTGCTATGATCTGGGGAACTACAGGCCTGTCAGTCTAACCTTGGTGCTGGAAAAAGTTATGGAGCAGATCATCTTGAGTGCCATCACATGGCATGTACAGGACAACGAGGTGGTCAGGCCCAGTCAGCACGGGTTTATGAAAGGCAGGTCCTGCTTGACTAACCTGATCTCCTTCTGTGACAAGGTGACCTGCTTAGTGGATGAAGGAAAGGCTGTGGATGTTGTCTACCTGGACTTTAGGAAAGCCTTTGATACTGTTTCCCACAGCATTTTCCTGGAGAAACTGGCTGCTCATGACTTAGACGGGTGTATTCTTTGGTGGGTAAAAAACTGTCTGGATGGCTAAACCCAGAGAGTTGTGGTAAATGGAGTTAAATCCAGTTGGCGGCGGGTCACAAGTGGTGTTCCCCAGGGCTCAGTATTGGGGCCATTCCATTTAGTATCTTTACTGATGATCTGGACAAGAGGATTGAATGCACCCTCAGTAAGTTTGCAGACAACACCAAGTTGGGTGGGAGAGTTGATCTGCTGGAGGGTAGGAAAGCTCTACAGAGGGATCTGGACAGGCTGGATCGAAGGGCCGAGGCCAGTTGTATGAGGTTCAACAAGGCTGAGTGCCGGGTCCTGCGCTTGAGGCACAACAACCCCACGCAGCGCTACAGGCCTGGGGCAGGGGGGATGGAAAGCTGCCCGGAGGAAAAGGACCTGGGGGTGTTGGTCGACAGCCGGCTGAATGAGAGCTGGCAGTGTGCCCAGGTGGCCAAGAAGGCCAACGGCATCCTGGCTTGTGTCAGCACTAGTGTGGCCAGCAGGACCAGGGCAGTGATCGTCCCCCCGTACCCGGCACTGGGGAGGCTGCACCTCAAAGACTGGGTTCAGTTTTGGGCCCCTCACTGCAATAAAGACGTGGAGGTGCTGGAGCGTGTCCAGAGAAGGACAACGAAGCTGGTGAAGGGTCTGGGCAACAGGTCTTATGAGGAGAGGCTGAGGGAGCTGGGGGTGTTTAGCCTGGAGAAAAGGAGGCTCAGGGGAGACCTTACTACAACCTCCTTTCAGGTAGCTGTAGAGAGCAGTGAGGTGGGTGTCAGTCTCTTCTCCCAAGTTACAAGCAATAGGACAAGAGGAAATGGCCTCAAGTTGCACCAGGGGAAGTTTAGATTGGATGCTGGGGGAAATTTCTTCACTGAAAGGGTTGTCAGGCATTGGAACAGGCTGCCCAGGGCAGTGGTGGAGTCACCCTCCCTGCAGGTAGATGTGTAGATGTGACACTTAGGGTTTAGTGGTAGACATGGCAGTGTTATGTTTATGGTTGGACAATCCTAAAGGTCTTTTTCAACCTAAATGATTCTATGATGAGGGAGGTTACTGCATTGTTTTTTGTTTTAGCCACCTGTACACTAGTAATGATCTAGTGAGTTTGCTGATAAAAGTAAAAACTACTGAAGCTTGACATGCACCAAGTAACCGTATGTGGGAATTGGATAAAAACTCATCATGTGCCTTAGTGAATATATTTAAAAGCACCCCTTTTTTCCAGGTAAAGATGAGATTTAAGTTAACTTCTGCAACCTCTGGAAAGTTGGGCTTCAGAAATACTTGAGGAGTATTTATTTCTCTTAGAATTTCTTACACAGTTGCTATAAACCCAATTTTAATCTTTTGTTCAGTCTTCTCTGTTTCTTATCATCAGCCCTGAAGCAGCTTTAGGGTAAATTGTCTTGCTTCTGTAAGGCAATATTCAGTGTAGTGAAATTAAATCACATTTCTGTCCTGAAGCGGAACTAACACAGGTTAAAATTATATAATGAACATTAAAAAGTGTTTATCTGAGCTTTGGAAGATCAGTGAGAAAATGGCATTAATTAATTTGAAATCAGGAATGGAGAAGCAAGGTTGTATGATGATATTACTGTGCTTTCTAGAAGTAAGGCTCTGGGAAAAGAGGTGTAAATTTATAAATCTTTGTGAATACGCTTCACGGAGTAAAGTATTACAAATGATCTGATTATCCAGGTGAGTTTGCTGATCATTGGTACCTGTCCTTGAGAGCGTCCAGAGACTCAACAGGCCCTGTGAGATGCAGCAAGAACTGCACTTCAATTTAATGATGAAGTTGATGACCAAAAAAATAGCAATTCCTTTATCTACATGTAAACATCCGATTTTAACAGTCTGATTGTTTGTTCTGCTTTAAAGCTTGGTTTCTGTGAATTTTGGAGTATGGTTTTGGGGTTTTTGGTTGTGTTGTTTTTGTTTTGTTTTGTTTTGTTTTTTAAATTAAAGATCCTAAAATGTATTTAAAATAGAGCAAAGTTACATTTGTCAAAGAGTAAAATTTTCATAAAAGATCTCTTCCACATGTTCTGTTGTTGCTTTCCCTCTTCTTACAGAATGGGTACAGATGGCACCAGCTTTATTTTCTAAATTTATCCCAAATATTCTACCACCTGCTGTGGAATCTGAGCTTCAGGAATATGCTGCTCAAGACCAGAAGCTTCAAAGAGAGCTTATGCAGAATGGATTTACTAGGTAATTATTAGTAGTCTTCAGAAGTAATTGTGCTGGACAGGGCTGAAATGGTAAAAACAGGTACACCTACAAATGTTGAAGAAATAATTTAAGAGTTAAAGAACCTTCACGACTCAGTATCTGAAATATGGCTTTATTTTCCACATGTTTTGAGCACTACCAGCCCTGCAGATGATACAAAAAAGTAGATGATCAGACATCTGGAATATTTTTGTGAAACAGATTGCTTCCATTTCATGCCTCCCTGTGTTTTGGTTGTGCTTCTAATGCACGATCATGCTCTTGTTCAGCCTTTACCTTGGCCATTTATTTTATTTAAGCCGACTGTTGGTTTTTTTTTCATGATGCTTTTGAAAATGTCAGTTGATGACTTCTTATTCCACTTCCAGAGCTATTTATACAGTTGTTTATTTTAAATAGGCATTTCTCTTCTGAGTACTGAATTGGGGGGGAGGGGAAGATCAAACAGTAAAAGACACAGTGGAAAATTTTCACAACCTATATTGTTCACTCTGGGCTGTGCCTGTTGCTCTCTGCTCTGCTATTTACTTGCCTAGACAGAAGCACAGTGCTTTCACCACAGCAGTGTACCACTTTTGCAGTACTCTGACAAACCAAGATCAGGCTAGGGAAGCTATCATGCTTTGTTCCCACAAGGATTGTTTCTGCATGAAGTGAGTACATCATCTTTCCTGTTACCTGTGCAGTGCTGAGAACCTGGCCCTGTAGTTTGAACCCCTGCTTGATGGTGGGTATGTTTAGTGTTAGATGTACTCCCAGATCTCATACTTCTGTGTAGTTTTCTTTGAAGGTAATCTTTCTCTTCAAATCTTGGAAAATTATTGAACTTCAATACTCTACTACTAACCCAAATGCAAATGGTATTGTAGACTCACTCCTTGCAAGGCTTTCTGTTAAGGAAAATAATTTTTTGATAGATATGCATGAGTTAAGACACTAAAAACAAAGTCATAAGAGCTTGGGCTGAGAAAAACAGTGCATTTGGCCCCAGAAATGGAATTTTGAGACTTTGAAACCAAGTAGGCATATAATGCTGACAAAAGAATGTAATGCACAGAACAAAACAAAAAAAGGAACGTTTTAGTTTTGTCTAACTTTCAATCTTACTAATTCTGTAGGTGGTTTATAATAGTTCTGCTTACAACTGCGTTTCACCGGTTTCACACTTAATAGAGACTTAAAAATGAAATTTAAAGTAGTAACAGTCCATATCCACAAAAACAATCAGTTTCAAAAACATTTTTCCCTAGGTACTTGAAAATATGACAGGTTTGTCAGCTTGCCTGTGAAATTCTTCGGTTGGTACTGAGAGGAGGATACTGTAGAAGAGGCTAGGGAAGGGTAGTAGGCAGGATCCTGACCATTGCAAAGGCTAGATGCCTCTGTGGTGCTCTCTTGTTAGAGACTTCATGGGATCCTCACAATGTATTTTAGCAACTAACTGCTGTTTTATGCAGAAAAGTAATTCTCTAGCACTGGAACTAATGCAAATCCATAGGAAACTGTTTCTGTCCTGTGTGAAAGGTGGGGACAGAGAAGAGATTAGGGCTTGAGGATAGTCATACAAGGAAGAACTGAGTAAAGGTTTCTGTGTCACATATTGTTTGCAGAGTCTAATTTCTAAGAGTTCCTCTTCCTTTTGGCTTTCTGCAGTATGAGATCTTCAGGGTATTGGACATATGAAGAGGTTTGGTATGCCTTGTAGGTTTAGAAAATTGGCCCACCCTAGCCCATGCTTTTGTGCAACTGCCGTTTCTGTGTAGCTTGCTTTCAATTTATTAAATAAAAATGCAAAATAAAATAACTGATTGATGGCATTTAGTCTCTGATGAATGTGTTTTGCACAATATATATTTTTATATGGCTGTACTGTTGGGGTCAGTGCAGTCTGGTAAACACGGAGGTTATATAAAGTGTTAGAGTGTCATCATTAAGAGGACACGGGCAAAAGAAAACTGAAGTACAGGTAATATATTCATTACATGGCATTTTGCAGTGATATTTGAAATGCATTTTGCCTTGAAACATATTTCAAGATGTGATATGCTTCTTCCTGTGTTAAGAACATAGGTTATATATAACTTTTCAGAATTGTTCTGAGGTTATATTCCTACACATACAGACATTTATATTTATAGATATGAAAGGGTTGTTTTTCTCTTTTACCAAGCAGTGTGCCAAGTATGTTCTTGTCTGGGTTGGTATGAAATGTCATCTGTTCCCCTCTAATTGCACCAAAAAATGGTGATGTCTTTTGCTGCTGCATTTTCTACAACAATAACAATAAGGAACACAGTGCAGTGAGGTGTCTTCATCAGCATTAGCAGCATGTCAGGTTCTGGTTGAAATAATCAGTTTATCAACACTATTAAATACTGTTGTTGCAGAAGGTGGGAACACAAGCCAGTTGCTTGGTGGCATTTTTTTGGTGAAAGACCTTAATCGAGCCATACACAGCAGGTCCATCACCTTAAGAGTGGTTTCAGGGAAGAACACTTCATATTATCAGAAAAAAATGCAATTTCTACCAACTTTCAGTGGATAAATGGGAAACTATAACCATTGTGGTGAAAATATAATAGAAACTCTCTTCCTTATATAACAGTATCAATATCATATCTATCCTCACAAGAAACTTGAAGCAGCAAGATTTTCCAGCTTTAAGAGTTTGTGTGCACAAGAATGAAAGGAAAAAAACTGTTTTCCAAATAGATGAGAATTTGACTTTGGGTTTTCAGGAGCAATGGTGTCAACCGATGTTTATATAAATTCAGTTATTTAAATCTTCTGCTTGAAGAGGGAGTGCTGTCAGCTCACGCCACACTTGCTTACAGTCTGATTGTTGGGTTTTCAGGAGCATCTTACCTTTTTAAACTGACAGATGCAGAGTTTTTCACATAGTTCTATAAAGTTTGGTTGAGGAGTTTGTATTAAGGAAAACAATTTTATGCATGACTTAAGACCACACTGCATATGAGCAATTTTCCTCATCTTCATTTTGTAAAAAACTATCCTATAAAATCAAACGTACTGTCTTAAACAAAAGGATGAGCTAATTGAATCTATAAAATATAGCTTATACTTCTCTTTTATTAAATTGGGAATCCTGCAGTCATGTGTTGTTACTACTATGTTTGCATTTTGTTTTAAAGTCTGAAAAAGATGATTGTGCTGAGTTATTTCACTATTGTTTTTCCTTTTTTAAAATCATAGAATGGTTTGGGTTGGTAGGGAGTTTTAAATGTAATCTGGTCCAACCCCCCTGCAACAAGCAGGGACATCTTCAATTCGTTCAAGTTATCATGAAAATACCTTTCTTCCCCTTCTTTTTTAGAGGTGACCAGTCACGCAAGAGGGCGGGAGAAGAGTTAACTTACAGTAAGTATGCACCTAACCCTGCCCTCCAGTGTGCTGCAGTCCTTGACGGGTTCGGCGTACAGGTAGTGGTGGACCTCTGGGTTCTCAGGGGTGGAAAGGTTTCAGAGCCTGCATCTCCACGTGTAGTCAGCTGTCTGCCAATGGAACCTTTACCATTCAAAGTAATAATACAAATTTCTTGGACCTAGAGCCTGGCTAACTGTGACAGAGTCCCTCAGTCACCTGTAAGGTAGTAAAATATGCTAGCTACTGAGGCCAAGATACCTCCACTCCATTTAAATGGAAACTGAGGTCTTGAGGAGAAAGAACATAATTGTCTCAAGTCTCTGCCTGGTGAGGATACATGTTAACAGGCAGTGAAATGATGAACCAGTCCACCTCTGATATAAATCACCCACTGGTGATGCATATTTCTGTCTGTTGACAGAACAGAGAGTTTGGAGACGTTGTGCTTTTCAATTTTGAACCCTCAATTACATGTCTAATACAACCTGGGATCCACCCGCGTTGAGATACTAATAGCAGTATTTGTCTACAAATGCTTGAGTCATGCAGCAAGGAAGTTCTCTTCCATTTGTAGATGAAGTCTCCTGCTGCATGTTTAACTGTGAGGTTCTTTACTCTGTCACACCCTTAATTTCCCCCGGTACAAATTAGAGAGTTGGGGGAAGAGGCACAGGAAGGAATGATATTTCCATTCTCAATTGGTTGTCTGCTCAGTTGTCTATTCCAGACAGCCCTAGTTTGGGAGCAGTCAGCGGTCTCTTCGACTAAATATTTGTCCAGGAGACAATATAGTCCCTTACATTCTAGATCAGGATTGAAGTACCAGGTCCTGATTGTCATTAAATAGCCTTTGGGATTGGGGAGTAGCGTCTCTTCTGGTACTGTTGTTAACATCAGTTCATTTTATTGCATTCTTTCTACTAAGTTTCCTCCTGTGCTTTCAGCTGAGCATGTTTGCTTTATTTCCTACCATAAAATGTCATAGTTTTATGATGAACTCTTATTACAACCTGAAATGAATGAATGGATCTTTACATGGTATATCAGCTTCCACTTACACTGTTAATGTTTTATAGGCAATGCTGTATTTTGGGCTGTTGGGGGAAGGGGGGGCTAAAGGACATAAGGTGGAAGTTTAATATGAGAGAATTTCTTGAACTTTTTATATAATTTCAGATGGCTCATCAGCTTGTGCAAGCTCCAGGGGGTACAGATAGTGAATATACTGGATCAGCTTCTATTCCTAGCCAGAACAGACACTGGAGGAGCGCAGGTGGTATCCGGAGCCTCCTTTGGCAACTGCTGATACTCAAGCTCTGACACGAACTATGGCTCAAAGAAGAGTTTTGGACTTTCTTCTTTATATAGTAAAATGTCAGTTGCTGCTACAATTGGGATGACTTTGAAAGACACGATTCCTTGGTCTAGCCTACCAACAAGTTCACGTTCTGCGATTTTTCGTGAGGAATGCACATTGAAAAACAATCCTTTCGAAGTGGAAACAGGCAGCCGAAATCAGCAGCTTCCAAAAGCGTTAGAATGGAAGAATCTTTTTTGCACTCTTTTCTTAATATTAAGGACATTCTTAAAACTAGTTAACACGTCAGTGTATTAGTTTTTAAACTTCAAGGTATTTTCTGGAGCTTTTACTTAAATAATAAGAATAAATTTTCATTATTTTGCAGTATTTGTTCGTTAGTTTAAAAATTGTCACCTTTTAAGAGTTGGTCCCATATAAATGTATCTTCTGTCAGGGAGTTTTAAATTCCAGATTTTTCTTTTATCTCTTTTTTTGTTATTTGGTATTTTGAAATCTGTTTTCCTGTGTGCTTGTACTCTGTGCCTTCAGCTTGTGCACTTTGCAACTTTATAGACCATATTTTGCTACTGCAAAATGTGTTCTCGAGGAAAAACTTGATGTGAACAAACATGCTGCAAAGTTGCACTCTTCTCTTGCATTATTGGGAGGTGAATTTAAAGAGAAAGGAAGAAAAGTTGAACCTATCACCATCACTAATAGTGACTTGGAAGTTTGTCCCCTTTTATTTTTAATATATATTAGTGTTTAATGCTGGGACCAACTCTTGTAGAACCCCTCTCATTGACTTTTCTTTGGCTTCCATAATTGCAATAGATTGAGATGTGAATTCCAGACTGAATGAAATGCTAAGATGTGTTTTATGCTGTGCTATGTAGAAGCATTGTGGGCAAAATTCTCCAGTCTAGTAGGTTTGCAAAGTGCATCTCCCTCAGCACAAACCAGACTTGCACCCAGTTGATCAGCGAACAATGGTACCTGTCCAAGATCACTTTTTGGCTCCTGTGCCATTTCTCCCATTTCGGGGATGTGATGGGGGTGTGATAGTGGGTGTAGTCAGAATCGGGGAGCTGAGGAGTGGTGTAATGCATGTGTGTGTACCCATCGGCCTCCTCCGTCCAGTCTTGTGTAAACTCAGCTGGAGATCCAGCTGAGCCCAGTTCCAGGAGATCTGGACCTATGGTCTAAATCCTAATGATTGTGAAATGGGTTTTAGTCTGTAGTATGGCTAATGCAATTTTTTCATGAGGGGAGAAACACACTTGAAAAAGCAGTTTGACTACAGCTTTGGTTTGTTTTAGTTTTTTGTTTTGTTTTTTTTTTTTTTTTTATGTTACTATGGATTTATTTTTTATCACCTTCAGTTATGAAGAGAAATGAGTTGGTAATATAAAATCTTTCTGAGTGAAACTAAAGTTTGTTCAGTTTTGTCTTGCACAACTCTTACGCCTGTTTGAAGAAAAAAAAAAAAAAAAAACATACAAAAACCCAACACAACCCCCTTTATGCTTGCATGAGTTCATTGCAAAATGCAGGAAAAAGATAAATAGATGCGGCAGGGACAAAGTTTCTTTTTGTTTTGTATCCAGGCTTCATGTAAATTAATTTAATTCCATCAGTTTCACATCAGCCACTTTGGCAATGCTTTTAGTTTGGAGGGTGGGAGGGAGGAAGAATGAGTAGGACACTGCTGTGATTGACAGATTCGAATCTGATTTATCTGTGTGTTTCTTTGCATATTTGCAAAGCCTATGTCATTTTGAGGAAGTTTTTCTTTTAAAAATTAATAGTTCAGTGTTTTGTTTTCTATGTAGAACAATGCAAGCAGTCTAATCTCATCCCCAGCATTGAAAAACCAAACCACTCTGAGCAGGGCTTTTTCATGTTGATAGCGCTTGCTTCAACTTTGCTACCAGCTACTTAAGTTGAAGCATAATTAGATAAAAACAGGGGTTTTGAAAATTTTGCTGAAGTACGCAGTGGAGAAGTTTAATGAAGGCCAATAGGGAACAAAAATGATTTGCCAGCTTCCATATTTTTATCAGTTTTGGCTTTAAACAAAAATAAAACCTCTGATAATGTCCTTAGCTTTAAAAACCACTGTTTGCTGAAATGACAATATTCTTGAGTTAAGAATAGATGCATTAACCTAATTTGGTTAAAGTTTGTTTACAACTCCGTTACTGTTCTAGTTCACATAATACAGTGGTCAAGCTCTCATCTTTGTCAAGTATCACAATTTTTTTCTGTTTTTAAAGTGGTTTTACTGGTTCAAGTTTGTAAATAACATGTAGTGCTTTTGCTTCATGTTTGAGGCAAGGGTTCAACATCCATTTTACGTTGCATTATGTTTGGGACACAAACTTCTAGAATAACAATTCCATCAAAAGGTAGAGGATTCCTGTCAGTGTGGTTCACTGAGTAGTGCTTGGATGCTTCTCAGTCCTGTGTAGCATTCTCACTTGGCCACCATGCCTGAGAAATCTGTTTGTTAAGCACTGTATTATGTTGTAAATTTGGCATTAAAATTCTTGTATGTTTTGGCATTATTAACATAATGCTGAAATATTGTTTATCTGTCAAAGACGTTATCATTGTGACTAAGCATGAATTAGAATACAGCAATTATACTAAATTATTTTGGTTTTCTGTAAACTTGCATTTTATTTACAGTAAAACTAACTCAGCTAACTTGAGCATTGGTACTGTAAAGCCACAATTACCAACAGCATGATCCTAACTGCAGTATTTAATTTAACCAAATAACTTGTGGTAAATCCATTGCATCTGTAGCTTACTCTGTTAAGATTAAGCAGTAAAGTTGGTTATACAATGGATGTCCTTTTTATGTTGCACTGGTTCCATAGCCAAACTTACTACATTAAAATATTTTTAGATTAACTTCATTTCTTGTTTTGAGAAGTTGAAATATTTAAATTCATCCTGCTGACTACTGTAATACTAGGCAATTGTCAATATATGGTCAAGATGGTCTTCGATACAAATGATGAAGTAGGGGTCTAACTAGGAAAGTACTCAAATCTTCTACAGTTGGATCTCCTTGATACCTTTCTGGAGTTGTTGAGGAAGGATTTGTGGATGAATACTCTGAAGCAAAAGTTTTTTTTACTCCCATTTGGCAGAAATATGATGAGCCAGATTCATTCCTTTTAATTTTTCCCTAATATGATTGTTTACTTTTACAGGTTTAAAAAAACAAAAACAACAACAAAAAAAACCAACAACAACAAAAAAAAACACAAAACAAAAAACCCAAACCAATTAAGAAGCCAACCACCAAGGCCATGTTCTGAGTGACTAAAAAATATTTCCATGTATGCTATGACAACCCCAGTGAAAGGACTATTCTGTAGAACTACGGAATAAAAAACAACTGCTTGAATTTGACTCCTGTCTTCAACCCAGCTCCAGTTGAGAGAAAACAAAGATGTTTTGATGACTTGACATGCACCAGATGCCCAGAGGGCACTTGGTTCAGCTCACAATGTACAAGTCATGGTACCTTTAGTATCAATATAATCCTTGACCACAATGAAAAAGTCCTGCTAGGGAGGACTGGTCACTGCTTGGGTTAGTGTATTTCCATTTCTGCTCTGTTGGGACTATGTGATAACATGGGGGTAATCACTGTGTTGATGACACTCTAGTTAAAAATTCCTTTTCTTGAGGGATGTCTTGTGTTGACCACTCGTTTAACTCTTGAGATTGCATTTCACAGCTAAATACTATAAATAAGCCTGATAGTGATAGTATGGGAATTCACTGGTGGTATTTGCTTCACTGTTCTGGTGAATTCCTTCACCGCTCTTAGTGCACCTCCACTAGAAGCCTTTAAATGCACATTAAAGATCACTGCATCTTCGTTGAGGTATTTGTGGTGTAATACTGAGCTGCAAACTGTGCTCCCACAACTGAGCAAGAGAAAGCTAGGCGGTCAGGCTTTGCGTGTCCCCCTTTCTCTGACCCAGGGGTCTGCAGCAACAGATACAGGTGCCTCGGTAGTACAAGGTGCAGCCTTGACTGTTCTGTTCCTTTGTCCGAGTGTAAGCAGGGGAGGCTGGAGCCCTGCAGTGCAGTTGCTTTGCTAGACGGGTGCGTGCAAGTCATGTCAGCGCTGTAGCACGTACTCGTGTCCCATCGTGCACATTCTCAGCACAGAGTCTGATTTCAGTCTGTAACTATTATGACTTTTGTGAAAGGAAATGGAGGTCTCAGTCCTATTCAGTCTTTTATTTCTAGGTAAGATAGAGGAGACTTTGCAGGTAGAGTCTGCTCTTTCCTTCTGGAGCTTTCTTGAGAAATATTCTCTGGCTGGTAGAGGGGAGAGGGATCTTTCCTCCGAGGAAAAGGACTATGGGTTATTTGTCTCTGATGTAGTCTGCTGGTCTCCAAGGCAACGTGGTGCAAGACAGTCAATCATATTGAGTGCACTATGCTTGTAGCACTGCAAGACTAATTCTGGATCTAATCTAGGATAAACAATGATCTTTTTGGTAGGCTTGTAAACTTCAGGAATCGGTAATCACAGAAGGCATGAAGCAGGGGTGGACTTATTCTGTCAGGTGTCGTTCTAGTAATTACATGTCAGAGGAAGTTATTCTGTCCCAGAGAACATTACTTATTATATCATAAATCAGTGTGATACTGGCCCAACAAGATATTTTTATACCCGTAGTGCCTGTTAACAGAAAAAGGCTGGAGAATCTAAATTTCATTCTTTTCACTGCTGGAATACGCTGGCTTTGAACAGGAGGCAGAATCACATGCGAGGGGAAGCCTTACCATGTCAGGAGATGCAGAAGGTCAGTGTTACTGCATTAGCAGAACAAGACAAACTTGCAGAATTGGCCTCAGTTGAAAGCTCCTTGACAAAGTGCTTTGTACTTTGCTAGAGGGAGTGGAAGGATTAAACCCATGTATCTCGACCTAACTCGAATGACTGGTTTAAGGGGGTTCCAAAATTTCATAGGCAATGAGTGCTCAGAAATCCCTTCTGGCTGTATCCGTCTGTCCCTGGAATGCTCCAGGTACACTTGGTCAATGTTTCTTTTTCTGAGCTGCTGTTAACTGATCTAATTTGCACAGAACAGGAAAGTTGACTCCGCTAATGATGACAACAGAGTGAATTCAGTAATATCTTTTATTGCCTCTTTATTTTTGTTTTTCAACTAATCATTCCTTAGAAAAACTGTTACAGTTTCTGAGATGACTTCGGTCACCACTGGTTTCTGTTAGAGGGTGGCAGGTAATTTATTTTTTTAGCACCATTTGCCATCTATCAGCAAATTGAACGATTTCATACAGAGAACAGTTCATAAATTAGTATCTTAAAACGGTCAGTAGATGTTACCCCGTGGATGAGGTTCAAAGTACAGGATGGGCAGAGGTCTGAATGCACTGCCGAAGAGCTGAGGTGGTCCATCTGCTTAGGTTCATGCTGCTATCGTGTAGAAGCATATGGAAAACATTAATTGAATTGCCCTGTGAGCATATACCTAAAATGTCTCTACATAGTCAATTACAATGGACTGCAAATTAATGTCTTCTCTTCATAGTAACCTGTTCCCATGACAGGAATGGCTGAGCAGTGACACATGACGCATTTGAAATAGGTCAAGACATGAAATCTAAAAATTACCTATATGTTAAGATACCTAACTTAAATTCCCTATGCGGTCAACGTGAAGCAAAAGGTTTCTCCAGGAGGTACCACACAGCACTAAATGGACATATTTGAAGATTTTGATTTTTGGGTCTCTGTTACTGGCCATGGCCTGCTGGTGCTTGAACCCATTTCATCAAAGGCTTTGGAGGCAGAACCTGACAGACAGGACCTGTCCTACCTGTGCGAGAGCAGAAGGAAAACAGGCCTGTTTGGTTCTTAATGACATTTGCGTTAAGTCTTTACTGAGCAGGCACCTGCTGCTCCCAGTTGCTTGGGTAGCCTGAGTTGATTGAGGTATGCAGTTTTTGTCTGTTGGAATGAATGTTAGGCAGAATTTCATCTGAGGTATAGAACCATTTCCTTTAATATACAGAGATGCATCATACCTGGTGATTATCTACTTGTAATCTAAATAATCTCATTATCCTATTTGTTCCCTCAGTTACAAGTTATGAAAACATGTTCAAGTGGTAATATGCTTCCCAATTACGGCTCCAATCTTCTACTTCAGAGAATGTCGTAGTTACCGAGTACAGATATGCAGGAGAGAGAGACCCACCGAGTAAGATGAAATTTTCCATGCATACTTCTGTTTCATGTTTCCCTCCAGGGATGTGTCATGAATTGAAAAACTGCACACGCAGTCCTTCACCTCATTCATGTTTTGGCATAATAACGTTTTATTCTTTCTTTTCTAATAATTCTAAGTGTTGAATTTACCTTTTTTAAATAACAGCTGTATACCAATCTAACATTTCTCGGAGCTATCTTTTATAATCCCACGATGTCATTTGTGGGTAATAGTAGTTCCTCCTTGTGAAAGTAAAATTAGGATCGTATTTTCCCAAAGCAGCATTTTGCCAGTCGATGTAGATGTAGGTAACCTGGATCTCTCACCCCGTTGCTTAGTGAAATGAAGTCCTGTAGCTCTGTGTAGTCAACTCTCTTCTTTACTTCCCTGGATGATGGAGTGTGAACTTTGTGTTTCACTGTTCACCTCCCTTTCAGCTTTCTACAAACACAGCAGTTAGCGCGACCCCAGCGCTGTGGCATTCTGCTGGTGCCCTCTCTTCGTTGTGAGCACTGTCAGTTCCTGCACCATGGCTTTCCAGTGGCAATTTATTCGTGTGGAAAAGCTGCTCTTTTATCTCATGGTAGCTTTGTAAAGAGCTTTTGATGAGAGAGCCCACCAACCACCCTGTGGAAATCTCTATCAGAGGATCTCACTTGGCACATGCTTGTTGAGTGATCTGTCTTACTGTAACTCAGCTATGTTTGTCATCATTTGAAGCCATGTATCCATGCTATAAACTACTGAAACAAGCCCTCATCACTCATATTTTATAGCTCACCATTTAGCACAAATGTTGCTGGGCAGACGCAAGTGTCTGACATCACGGATGACAAGAGTTTGAACAGGAATTTGTAATGTCATGCTCTGATCCTGCTGATGAATTGGGAATTATCAAGATGATTTCCTTGGGTAAAATGAAACAAGAGAGACTTTTAGCATGATAATATTTAATTTATTTTATTTAGCAAAGACTTTCTGAATTCTTTGCACATTCTCTGAACTCAGTTTAATGGGTCATCAGCCACTTCATGATTTGTTGATACAGGAGAAAAAAAGCAATCAAGCTTATAGTGTGCCAGGTCCTCTTCTCTGCTTGCCAACGCAGCTACTCATCTTGTAAGAATCTATTTGCATCTGAAGATCCGAAGTAAGCAAAGGAGACTGAGCAGAGCTGTCCGACAGCAATTCAGCTGCTCTGGCTGAGGTTTAACATCTGCAGTTGTTGCTACAGAATGGTCTCTTTTATCTACAGGGTGCTTTAATGCCTTGTTACTGATATTGTCTATCATTACACTTGCTTCTCTGTTACATTAAAATAAACCACAGTCAGTGATCTGCAAATCTGAGGAATCACCTCTGAGGCATGCTTACCAAAGCCACTCTCCCCCTCCTGAAGCCTGTCTTCTCTGAGCTCTTCTGTAAGAAATAAAAATTGTGGCTTTCTGTTTTGGAAACCCACGTGGGATTGGCGCTCAGCTGTGCCCGGGCCGGGGGCGCGGTGGCACCTGAGGCCCTCCTGCCTCTGCCCTGTGTGTTGCAGTCAAGTTTTTAATTAAAGATGTAATGACAGTGTGTGTCTGGCCCATGGCTAACCTTTGGGGTGGTAAGTGGTTTGCCTAATAAACGGAAACAAAAGATTGACTTTTGTTCTGTATTTACATAAGTGAGCAGAAAAGACAGCTCTCCCTTGGACGGTGAGGAAGAGCGGAGTAGGAAGCTGAATCATGCTGGGCAAACTACAAAACCAGTCTCCTGGCAGAGCAGCACTGCCTGTGCTCTTGGCTAGGAGAGGGCACTGTTCCTCATGCCCCAAAGTGCTGAGCTACGTGCTGAAAGAAGGGTGCTGAGGAGAGCAGGATTCCTCAGCGTTTGTGTAGGCACCGATGGTGGGAGAACTGCGAGCCACCGTGCCTGGGCTGGAGGTGTGTTTTGGGCTGGGGAGGATCTTATTATTTGTACTGCTAAATGGTGCTTGTGTTTCTATTTAGCAATTCCCAGGACAGAACAAACCTCCACTCTTAAATTGATTTAGCTACTTTGCAGCCAGTCTTTGGTTGTATTTAAAGTATTCAAGAGCTTTATTGATTTTTAAAAGCATCCTGACAAATAATGCATGTGAAGTTAGTTCCCACTGGAGCTAATT